CTGTCAAGCTGTTAAACATTTCAAAATACATCACCTAACTGTAAGGTTTCGAGGTACTCTCTTGTTAACTACCTACCCACTTTATGGAATATTAACAAGACTAGCCCTTGTAGAGTTTACCCAAACCCTAGCACCTACTTTACAGCATATCTCTAGTACTTATAGTATATCCCTGCTTTGACCTCAGACTTCCAATCCAGATAGCCCAGTAGAACTATAACCTGTTATTGATATATCGAGCCGGCCTGATATTCTTTTCCTCTAGTTCGATTCTGGCAGTCTGGTTGGTGGTACCTCTTACCTGAGGTTCTTGCCCATCCGGCTCCTCCATATTGGTATCTGTTTCCTAGATCTAGCCTTTACAGTGGTACCATCAAAGATCTGTGTTACCTTTCTACTCAGGTCTTTCCAAGCAGGCTCTGGTTTCCCAGTTCTACAGATTTACATAGCTACAAGGACTTATTTTAGGTTTGCATCGCCTGGTACCAGTTTGCATTCCTCTATGTAACCAAGGTTACACAGATGACCTGTGACCTGCTAGTCATGCTGGTGTAACCATAGTTACAGGTATCTTATCCCAACTAATCAACAAAATGCTGTATTACATAGGTGATTATTCAAATTTTCGCTGTTGGTGGGTTTTGAACTCACAACTTACCACTTGGGGGGGTTGACAACTTATCCACTTCACTAAGTTGCCACACCCTTAATCTTAATATTATTAATTCATTTAATAATAATTAAAAATTCTATTCATTTCAACTAAAAATTATTAATAACAATATACAAAATCTTAATATATACTATTTCTTATTATATACTACTCCAAATTGTATTTATTGTTAATTAATTGAAGATATATCTCATCTATTAACTTGCTTTAAACAAAAATTCAATCTTTAACAAATTCTTTATAGCTTAATTATAAATATTACTCACCAATTAAATATCTTTACAGAAATTACAAATACTATTTATACTACATTATTCTACTACTTTAATATATCATTATATCTTTATTTTTTGTATCTTATTCAAGACCTTTATCTTATATCTCTATATAACAATATTAAAATACTTCTTCATAAAATAATATTACTTTTTTTTATAATCTTATCTAATGCTTTTCTTAATTGGTTCTATTAACAAATATGGCTTCTATATAATATTTTTCAATAACAATAAGAAAAAACTTACAATATAACTAACAAATCTAAATATTTAAAATTTTATTCTTTAATTTCTACCTTTTAATTAATATCTATTATCTCAAATACATCTTTTACTGACCCTACTATGTCTATTAAAAACTGGCTATTCTTAGACTATTCACTTACTAACTGTATTTACTAAATGTCAAGACTATCATTTTAAGTTTTCTCTAATCTTTCTATACTTAAAATTAATTTGAAATAATTAATAATAGTATTATATAGAAATGAAGATGTAATGTTACATTGGATATCTTAAAATAAGTAGTACAAATATAGTTTAGAAATCTTTAATATAATTCTTCTATTACTTAATAATATTTCTACTTTGGTATTTCAAAAAAAAAGTTTCTTTTTTGACTATTCTCTTTCTGTTATTTCAATTAATTTTTTGATTATTCTTAATAATATAATTTCTTTTAACTTTTGTTTAGTAAGTTTAGCAACAATTTTATCTTCTTTATTAAGTGTTATATATGTTTTACTTAACTGATTAAAGAATGTTTTGTTATATATACTATAATTACCCAGTATACTCTTTTTATAAAAATTATTAATAGACTTTTTACATGTTCTTCTAACTTTATATTTTATTTATAATTATATATTTTTTATTTGATTACTAAAATTTTTTGTATTTTTTTTTTTTATATATAGTATTTTATTTATCTGTTGTATAAGGTATCTAACTATGAGGGGTGTGGCGACCTAGTAAAGTGATTAGATTGTCAACTCCCAAGTGGCAGATTCAGAGTTCAAATCCCAGTGTTGACAAAAAATTTGAAAATCTTTTCTGTATATGATTAACTGTCTCTTGCAATTGGTTAGAATAAGACACCTGTAATCTATGTTGCACCAGCATAACTGGCAGGTCACATGATATTTGTGTAACAGTCACATAACATTGTTCTTTGGAACAAGGTCTGTAGTTACACAAAGGAATGCAAACTGGTACTGGACAGTGCAAACCTACAATAAGTTCTTGTGGACATGTAAATTATAGGAATCAATAGAAGAAAGATGGAAGCCTACTTGGAAGACCCAAGTAGAGAGGTAACCCAAACTTTCGACAGTGCTACTGTAAAGACTAGACTTATGAAATGGAGCTAGAACTTGTGAAACTAGGTAAATATGCCAGTCTTTGAGAAGAGACTGGATGAACCAATCAGGCTGCCAAAATTTCTGAGTTCTGAAAGAAAAGTGTATATACTGGCAAACATGTAAACCAGAAGTATAGTCTCACTTTACCTTTTCAGGCTATTTGAAATGGCAGCTTGGTAAAACTTAAATTGAATACCAAAGTAGTAAGGATATATTGTAAAATAAGTATCAGGGTTGAAGTGAACTCTACAAGGGCATAACGGTTTAATAGTATGCCCTAACTGTTAGTATTGGTTTTGGTCATAGTGATATCAGGTCAGCTATAAGAATAAGATACAGAAGATTCTGGAAGGTTTAGTACAAAGTCAAAGGTTCCAAAAAACTGTTTTAAAGACTTAGTAGCTATAGTATATTTTCACTGATATCAGTCAGGATCATTGGTAGGCAGAGGTAGGTGAGTAGATATAGAAACAGAGTGGTTAAAAGGGAATCTACAAGTGGGTTTTAGGTATGATAGCTAGTGTAGAACCTTCAGGCAGACTACTTAAATTAGACAATGACTAAAGTTGTACAAGTGGCTAGTTGTATACTCTCTGCATAGTTGCTCTCTGTGGTTGTAAAGCAATCATTAGCCAAATATACTATCAATAAAATCCTGGGTCGCAAGTACTCACCTTAATATTTTAAAAAAAAATAAAAATATATTTAACTATCCTAGTCTAATTTATTGTATATATTTATTGTTGTTTTACTGTTATATGTTTTTTATATAATATAAACAGATTTTTATATAAGGTTTAATAAAATTTTTTTACAGTTGTTATTTTTATAAAAATTTTCAAAAAAAATTTTTTTTTTTTTTTATAACTATTTATCTAGTTTTGTAGTAAATTTCTTTTATATACTTATTTACTATTTTCTATATTGCTGTTTTTTTTTATTTAGTATTATTCGAAAGGTTTTCTATTGCCAATTTGGTAAAAATTTTTTTTTTTTTTTAGCTGTTTTTGTATTCAAATGATATCAAAAAAAGTAATACTGATATAAAATATTGTATGTGTACTTGAAAAACATATACTATTACTATTATAGTTGTTTTTTAGTGGTTTATAATTTAGAGTTTATTAACAACAACTTTACTTAATATAAAACCAAAAATATTATTTACTAAAAATCTTAAGTTTTCAATACAAACTTGATTCAAGTAATTATCTAATATTTTATATATAATTATAAACTTTTTTATTATAATATGTTTTATATAACAATCTAGTAAAGATACGAGCAAGACTTCACCTTAAAAAAAAAAATAAAAAAATAACAATCTAGTAAACAATCTAGTATAATCAATTATACAAAATATTACAAAAAAACTCAATATAATTATAATTGATTTTACTCATGTACTGCTATGCAACATATGAAGTAACATTAACTTCGACAAAAAAAATTTCATTATTTTTTATCATTTGCCCAATAATGTATATTGTTTACTCTATATAGTAACGTATTAAAAAAAAAATCACGTACGTACATATATAAATAGTATTTTAAAAAAAAGATCTACATTATTTGCACAAAATAAAGTGGCAAACGGTATCATCAATCAAAATTTGCAATTTTTAGTTCTTCAAATAACAACTTTATGGGTACATAGTAGCCGCTTCTATATGTATAATAATGAAGGGTTACACAGTTAACTCACTTTTTATATAACAAAAAAGAGTAATTAACTAGTTTACATTCTCCTTAAATTCAGAGTTGACTGTATATTTATAGAAAGGTCACGCAATTTAAAATACCCGAGTACAGTCGACGATAATACAAAAATTATCCTTCAAAAATAAAAACGGATATTTTATGTGGAGGTACATACTGATACGTACGTTCGTATTTACCGTTACAGCATTTAGTATTAGCGTTAGGTCCAATAAGATTTTTGTTTATAGAAAGCCCTACCAAAGACTCTAACTAATTGGATTCCTGAACCTTATCGACTGCAACACATGATAATCTATAGTGCTCAATCTGTCCTAAAGATAGACTTTAGGGTTGTGTAAAACGTGCACACGACTTTATTAGAAATCAGTTAGCCAATCATTTTGATCATCATTAAATTTATAAATTGCTTCTGTATGAAGTACATACGTACCTAAGCACAAAAAAAAATTTTGGATTCTTTTGAAAAAACTACTTTTAAAAATAACTCCATAAGCGACTGTTTTTTGATATAAAATAATCACAGCTATTAGTGATAATTGTTAAATCATATCTTTTTTAATTTTCTAAGCAATTTCTAACCCACAAAAAAAATTAACGTGTCTTCAATAACAACTAATCACTCATGGCGGGAAATAATATACAATTAAAGGATATGAGTAGTATGAGTAGCAGTAATTGCTACTCGCCTCGAGAGCAACTTTTGATTGTCTGTTTGACGAAAACAACTTCCGCTACTGCAGGCAAGAAAGAGTGCTATTATTATTCTACCTGTAAGTTGAATTTAACCAACTGTTTCAGTACAGCTATAATTCTATGTCCTAATTTTGACTTTACGTGCTAAAACAGTGGGTAAGAAGACCGGGTGGCGTTCCTGTGAGTGTTTATTTAAATTAAAATTTTTTATTTCTTAATTTCCAGTTTTGACATTAATTATATATCTGATTCTTAAATATATTCATGTAGGACATGACTCCCGGATTTTTCTTGAACTTGGATGAGCAAGACTTCCTAAGCCGTGACAGTGGCAGTATCGCAGCGTTAGGAAGTCTTTGGGGTGTTAGTGATGATGGGAGTATATATAAACACCCGGTCAAAAAAAAGCAGTCAACCTTTGTAGAACAAGTTTTTCGCAGCGGTATTCCAGCCCACATTGACCTTCATTTGACAGTCACATCCGTGCAACAGGTGCAACAATATGATTGTAGGTGGGAAGGTTTCGTCATGAAAAATATATTATTTTTAAAGGGTAATGGTTTAAATGTGTTGGAGTTAAAAGAGAGGTACGCTATTTCCTAGGTTATATTTATTTCTTTTTGTTGTGATTATGATATTTTGTTTCAGGATATGTGGACCATTTATTTCCTTCCAAGATCGCTTCATGTAATCATTGAAATTATGCATAAGATTCATTTTTTTATCATGCATTTGGGATTTGGGATTACAGTAATTGCTTGTGGATGCAAGCAACGTCTGTATCATTTCCTACGTGCTTGTGATAATGAAGCGATCAAGGTGATTTCTATGAAATTGTGATTCACATTCTTTCTAACTTAATTTGATTTTCGAATGTATTCCTTGCGCTTGCACACTATTGTTTTGCGCCTGTGTTGTCATTTCTTGTTTTCTTTTTTCACATATTATAGCATTGTTGCCATCCTGGAGCTTGCGGAAGAATGCTTAAAGTGCAATTCTTTAGTTGTCTGTCTCGACAAAAAGTGTTCACATTTATGTAAGAATTCTATTCATTATAGTTTGGTTCTCTTTTAATTACCCCTAACTTTTAATCATATATATTGTTTTTATCATAGCTACACTCATTCATAGCTTCTTGTACGTTGGCTTCGAACTGGTGCTGCCCGGCACCTTTAATCATAATTCCAACGACTTTCTTCTCGTTGGAATGGAATTATAAAACCGCACTTATATTGTTCATTTGACTAATCTTTGTATATTATCTTACTTCATTTCATTAGTATCATTTCTTATTAAACCTTTTTTCATCTTTTATATCATCATTAATCATTTGAAATATTTGTATATATATGAGTTATAATTTTATAAGTGATAGCTTTGTAAAAATGAAGTTTTCTCAAAGATAAAATTATACAGTTTTGAGCTAATCGTTAAAAATCATCCACTCGCGAAATTTATTCGTCTATTTTTTATTTTAGTCGAATAAATACTATGCAAACTATTGTACGTACGACTCCTGCTTGGCTAGCGTTGTCATCAATTAAGTAACCAGCCTACTTGGATCTAGACTTTTAATTGGCTGGTTGAATAAGCACTTTTTACTACTGTACTAGGGATCTGGCCAAGTAGTTGGAATTTATATTAAACCACAGTTTTTAATGCATTGTTAAACTAGCTGTTTCTATTGACACGATTCTAACCAGGTGGTTAAACCTCGAAGTAGGACCGTTCATGTTACACAAGCGATCCAATTGATTAAAAAAAATTTTTTATACGTTTTACAATACTTTTTTCTTTCGCTTTGCCTTATAACATAATTACTTAATCTATTTTAATCCAATTGTTTTCATGTTTTTTTTTATTTGCTAAAATGTATAAATTGCAATATTATAGAGTTGAAGAGATTTTGTCTACTGAAAGAAAATAAATAGAAAGAGGTTGAATATAAAGGTTTAATATAAGAAATGTAAAAAGAAGGTAGAATTACATTGCATAATAAATGTTATATAATCATGTTCAAAATCTATTGCAATAAGTTACTAAATAAGTAAAAGTTTTAGTTAAATGAAATAGAACCTAATGTTAAAAAAGAAATACAAATTCCAATTAACAAAAATATAAAAGTTGTAAACAAAAGAATAAATTTTTTTTTTTTTAATATTAATGGTGAGGCCATGCTTCTATCTTTATTGAATATTTAATTAAAATTTTACATAGAGTACAATTTTGTTTTTAAAATATTATAGAAAGAATAGAAGCTTAGACTAATTTATTTGTGACTTAAACCAACTGAAGTGATCAAGATTTATCTAAATTTAAGTGTTAGTAATTATGTATAGAAAATTAGTTTCATATTTAATCCATTGAATATACTAAGAGTTTATTTTTGAACTAATTAAATTGAATAGGAGAGAATATGATAAAAGTAAGACAAAGTTTAATAATAAGTTATATTCAGGAGTTTAAGTTATAAATCTTGAAATACAATAGAAAATTTAGATTTTATAATAAATTTGTTGATTAAGATAAAACAAAAACTTTATAGTAAGTGTTATAGTTACTTTTTTGAATAACAAACTTGTGATAATGTTAATGAGTTTGTTTGATTAAAGTTAAGAAAATTAAAGATGTATCTAATAAAATGTAAGTAGTCATACTACTCAATAGCTTAATTTGATTGTGTAAATTAATTATAATATTTAATATAGTTTCAAGTATGTTGGTGTTGAAAGTATGTTTTAATAAAATGTCTATAAAACTGTATAGTAATTAATTAGATAGGCAAATTGTTCAATAAAAATGATAACTAGTTCAGTAATATAGATAACAAATTAGTGAATATGAATGATGAAGTAGAAAAATCATTTAGTATAATTTTAATTCTAAAGAACTTAAAATAAAAGACTGAAAGTTGTGTAAAAAGATTAAGATTTTTGATTGTTATTAATGTATAATCAAGTAGCTTGCCAATTAATTTAGTTAAAAATTTTATATTATTTTTGAAAGCAGTTTTGTATAATTCATAATGTATCCCTTAAATTGTATTGCATACAAATTTGCCTGCATCTTTTTTTAAAAAATTAATTTTTATAATAAAATTTTAACAATTAATTTTAACAATATACTTT